GTTTTCTGAGGAGTAACCTAGCTCAACCCTAACCTGGTTAATAAAGTCCTGTGACCTGGTCTTTAGGTCAAACGGAATCAACCCTAGGTTTTTGGAAACCCTAACTGAAGTTGCAGCTGCTATATATTCAACAGAGCTGCTGTTTTTCAAGTGATCCCTGCTGATTGATTAGAAGATCAATTTTGTAATCTGTATAGATTTGTTTATTGTACTCCAAGCAATTATCATTGTGATAAGTTCCTTGGAATAGGTTTCAATTGTAAGGGTTGTGTAGCACTCAAAGCTTTGAAGCAAGAGTGTTTGAATGTCCCTTGACTAAAGCTGTGAAGCAGAGTCAAGTTAGTTGTGTACATCACTCAAAGCTGTGAAGCACGAGTGATTGTGTTGCTTGATTAAAAAGTTGTGAAGCTTAATCAAGTGTGTGTTCTTTTTGAAGAGTGTCTTCATCAATTCTTAAGTCAAATTGGTTTATGTATCACTGTTGTGATTGAGGGGGAGTGAGTAGGAACTCAGGTTTAAGTAGTACTTAGATTAGAATTGCATTGGGTAGATCTTAAGTGAAGGAGATAAACTGGTTGGTTTATTCCTGAATTAACATCTCTTATAGTGGATTCTCTCCCTGGCTTGGTAGCCCCCAGAGTAGGTGTTGTTGCACACTGAACTGGGTAAACAATTGACTGTGTTCTTTACTGCTTTTGTATTTACTGTCATATAGTAAGTCAGATACGGTGTCATAACATTGGGCGTGACATTGAGTATCTGCAGCCAGAATTTTCACATTCTTAATGAATTTCTAACTTCTAAATTTGAGTAGTAGAATTGGATAACCCAAATCATGAATGTTTAGTATTTCATGCTTGCTTGAAATCCATAAGATCGAAATTGCTCCAATCATGAATAGATAACTTGCACTATTTTACCTATCATCTTGACCTCCTCCCCAATTTAAGTCAGAATAATTATATGTTCTTGCTTTCTTGCTAGTGTTTTGCTGGTTTGAAATTAGCACACCACGATCACATGTGCATTTGCATTTGATGTACCTTAATATCCTTTTAGCAACTAGTAGGTAACATTTTATAGGTTTCTCCATGAACCTACTTATCAAATCAACATTCTGGTAGTTGTTAGGCCTTGTGTTGCACAAATATTTGAGTGTGTCAAGGATTTCATTGTATAGTGTTGAATCTACTACCTCATTATTAGTATCTTTTCTCAGCTTTATAACCGTCACTACGAGAGTGATTGTAGGAATGCAACTGCTCATCTTGAATCTCTTTAGAATGTCTTTTACATATTTCTTTTGATGTAAGAAAATTCTATTTCTTGTGCTCACAAATTCCATTCCCAAGAAATAAGATAAATTTCCTAAGTCTGACACTTCAAATCCATCCATCATACTAGCCTTGAACCTTTATATCTCGTCTTCATTTGATCCTATAATCAACATATCATCTGCATATAAGAACGTGATAATTTTATTCTACTCATTTGAATCATTCGCATATACTCAATGCTCTAATGTGTATTTAGAAAATCCTAATTTGACGAGGAAATTATCAATTTTTGTTTCATGTTATATGGGTTTACTTCAATCCATACAAAGCTTTTCTCAGTTTGTACACCTTCTCTTCATGTCATATGATCTCAAAACCTGGTGATTTCTTAACATGAATGTCTTCTTCTACATGTTCATTGAGAAAGGAAGACTTTACATCTAACTGATGCATATTCCATCCTTTTTATGTTGTAATTGCAACCACTTTTATGATAGTTTCATATCTTGCAATTGGTTCATCCACCTCATTGAAGTCAAGTCCATGCCTTTGAAGAAAGCCTTTTGCAACTAGCCTTGTTTTATACTTAGTTATTTCATCATTTGGTATGAGTTTCAACTTGTAGGCCTTTTATAAATCCATAGACTTCTTGTTAGAACTATTCACCAACTCCCAGGTTTTGTCCTTCTTGTAGCACGGCTCTTATGTTATCGGATTTTCATCATTTTGCATTGACTTACTTGAATTTTTCTGCCAGTTTCAGCTTTTACTTTCATCAAATTGCACATATCTACTTGTTACCACATTAGTCTCAATTGATGAAAATAGTTTATATGAACTTTTTGAGTGATAGCATGTGAGAATCATAACTTGACTCCTTTAATCAAGTCTCTTGAGTTGAATGAATATTTTACTTTTTCTTTACATAAAATAATGAATTTATATATGAAGGTAAGAAAGTAGCAACTACCTCACAGTTATTTCACTTTAAATGATCCATGTACAGTTGAATGAGAAGTCTCCAATTTTTTATTTGACTTCAAAAGCAAGTCACTGATGAATGACTTTCTTATCTGCTTGGCTACACAACATTCTTCACATAATTGATTTGGTGCTTTAATTTTAGGAAGGTCGTCATTCTCTTCATATGCATCGGCTTAGACTTCTGAAGTTCATGTAGCCATATCTTTGATGTTATATCTCGTTTTGATCATTAGTAATTATTAATACCAGACATTGATGGTCAAGTATATTGATCATGAGTTTGAAAGTCTTCTATTTGACAAGGGTGCTTTCAAAATTAATTTTACATTTGCATCAAATGCCTTCAACTAACCCAAGCTAATCTGATTTCATGGTGTAGTTCTATTTCTTATTCTCTAACTTCATAGTTTTATCAAGCAACTAACCCAAGCTAATCATATTTCTTTCAATCGGAATCTTTGTAAAAGCAACAATCTCTTACATAATGACCAAATTTCTGAAAACAATAACATAAAATTTCCTTCATATTAACCTTCTTCTTGAACTTCATGTTATTGGAGGTACTAGCTTTGCTTGACTCACCTTGATTCTTTGAGTTCTTTATAGAGCCTTCATCATTGCATTTCTTCTTTTTTTACTTTTCTTTTTCTTGCTAACCTTTGATGCATCATCCTTTATCTTCTTGAAAAACTTTGCTTGAAGTGCTTGTTTCATGGCTTTCTCTGAACTTCTTTGTTTCAATCTCATCTCAGAGAGTTCTTGGACTCTTCAGCAACCACACTATATGATCGAACTTAGTAGTAAAAGTTCTTAATACTTTCTCAATATTTTGCAACTCAGTGATATTTTCACCAATTCATTTGATTGGTTAAGAATATCAATCTTGAGAAGAAATCTACAACGACTTCACCATCATTCATCTATGTATTCTCATATTTCTTTCTCAATGAGTGCAATCTCATCTTCTAGTTTTTCATCAGCACCATATAGTTTATCGAGTGTATTCCATACATCCTTAGCTGGTTTTTTCTGATAATCTTCTAAAAATATTTGAATCCACACACTGATAGATCAAAAAAAGTATTTTTTTTATTCTATTTTATAAACTAACGACGAGTTTCTTATGTGCACCAGTTGCACTGGCTTCCAATGCAGATATGTCATCATTCACTATCAATAAAACATCTTGAAATTTGAATATGACTTCATTTGCACGCACCACCTATCATAGTGTTCTCCTTTGAAAACCGATAAATTTGTTGAGAATTAATATCATTCGCAATATGATACCAACTTGCTAGGATATTTGAAGATGGATGAAGAACAACTAAGTAAAAGTTAGTGAATGAGTGAAAGAAAGAATGAGCTTATTGGTTTATAGGATTGTTGTTTCTCATATAATGTAATTGAGAGATTTTCCATAGGGCGTAATAGATCAACTTTTTATAATAACTAACAAACTTAGCCAAAATTCATCCACACTTAGACAACTTCTCTAACTATGTTGCAAGTAACTAACTTCCAACACTAGTAATCCTTATCAATTATGAATTACAATCTCATTACACGTGCTTATCTCTATTATGGAGAGACAACTACTATTTAAAAGTTCCTCATGTCAAAGATAAATGAAACAATTATAAGTATTCATTTTAGTTTTCTTTTTCACAATGTGTAGTAAATTTTCCAATATGCTCCATAAACTTTTAGCTTCTATAATTGATTTTAGTCTTGAATTTGATGTTCAACCGATTTTTTCATAAATGTATTCAAATATAAATTATTTAACATTTATCTCACTTTTAACTAAAATCAATTTTATAAAATCTATTCTTTTAAAATCAACATGTATCACCACATGCCCTTATAAAATATATCACAAATTGGGGTGGCAAGTCACTTATAATTTTTATTTAGTTAATTGATCAAATCTCTTAAGCCTTGTAAATGTTTTATGCTTCTTAGTTTTCTCTTATAGCTGGATGATGCCCTGGATAAAAAAATTGTTGTATTGAGAACAAAACTTGAGAAAATCATTGATGATTCTCATTCAAACATTTTTTTAAGGCCAAAAGCAAAAAGAGTTTTATTATAAAAAAAAGGTATAAGCAATGCCAATAGTACATGTCAAAAGGACAAAACACCTAAACCAGGAACAAAAGATAGGTTGAGATAATGGAGTATCCAAACCAAAAGCAACCTGACTAAGATTAAATAACCAGACCCTACTGTATATTACAGTACCAGAAAAAACAAGAGATATGAAGCAAAAACTAACTCGTGAACACCAACTCCAATCCAAATTGATCCGCACCCCAATTGCAGAGCTGAGACATCAACCTCTAGACATTCTTGAAATATCTACCAGCCAGTCAGAAACCACTGTAATACCAGACACTGAAATAACAGAGATATGATACGCCAAATCGAGCTGAGATTTCAGACTCAAATTTGACCCCCGACACCAAACCCAATCTACACAAGAGAAAATCCTAGAGAAGCAGCCCCTCGAATCGCGCAAACACCGCCAAAGCCAGTCCTGAACTTTAGATCCTATACCCCTCACTATATTTCAGCCGCTGCCACCAATGATAAGATATACCCCAGGCAAAAGCACAGCAGGACTCACAAGACAGACCCAAACTTGCCAAGGCTTCCTTTATTCCAAAAGCCAAAGTACAGCAGAACTCCAAGACAGATCCAAGCTAATGGACTAAAGGATTTGAAATAAACCCCAAAATGCTCAGATTACACAAAACACGCAAAAAATATCTAAAGCTGAAACAGTATCGGATTCTCCCAACCCCCCAACCAAACAAAACGAAACTGTGTCGCCGACTCTGCACAACCAGAACTACCAACCGAGCAAGAGCCAATACCACAAATATAACAGTCAATAAGCATACATTATGTCAGATTAGAACCCAAGAACAGCATATACTAGTACCACAACAGAGAGAACCGGCAGGGTCGACAAACCGGCAACCAACAACAGACTTTCTTCAACAAACACCTGACTCCACGCATCCAAAACCGCACTGCAACCAGTCCTCAGACTCCCAGACTGCTAAAAGACAACTCTCACTCCCTCGATCGACATAGCCTTCCACTCCGCCAGCTACTGCACACTGCGGCACTAACCTCCAAAACAATCCCTTGGGTTTGTAATCCACTGAGCAAGATTGTAACTGAAACCACCAATCTTGCTTTTACACCACTTCCAAGTGGTCAATTGAATCTCATCAATAACAGATCCTTCTTCTCTTCCCATCTGCCTATAAACTTTTTCGTTCCGTCTCCTCCATAAAATCCAAATACACGCGAACCAAATTGCTGAGTACCTCTCCTTCACGACCATGCCCCCGTTAAAAAACCCTCTGGTCTGATAGAAGTTCGATACAGCAGAATTATGAAACACTATAAATGTTCAGCCATCTTAGGATCTCGCTCTATGCCGCATACGCTATCAGACATTCGAAGAACAAGTGCTCAACATTCCTCTTTTCCACAGCCGAACGGACATGAATTTTGAGATACTACAAGATGCCTCTTTTAATCAAGTTATTTCTGTTCGGAATTTTGTTTTGCCAGTCTCCACATGAAAGCCAACACTTTTAAAGGAACTAATTTGCACCAAGCCTCTGCGAAAACCTTATCTTCATTAATCTCCGCTGCCACCCCACCCGTTATCACTGAGTATGCTTCTTTAACCAAGTAAACGCTTTTAGACCATCTCCGTTTATCCTTAACGTTATCCCTCAAACAGACTCTTTGCACTAACTCTATGATTTCCTCCTCTAATTTCTTATTTTCCTCATTCAAGTTTTTCCATCATTCTTCTTTGATCAATCAACAACCATCCTATCTTTTATGGCAAGGGCCTGTACTTGATGTTCTCTGACTTGCATTTCACTTGCCATTAACAAGCACTAGCCCACAACCTTGGCCATATCCTGAGTCACTTTCCTACAACTTCGGCTGTCCTAAAAAATCACTACGGTTCAATTTTCCACTACATCATGCTCTTTCCCCATCGCACAGCCCACATGGTATACCATGAATCACACTTTCCAATGTGTTCGTCACGCTATTTTTTGGCCATAATTGACACTCACCCTGATAAAACTCACCAACAATCTGAATCCAACCACTCTGACCACCCATCCCAACCTAAAATCCCCTCACTTAAATTTCCGATATAAAAGAAACTTCTTGTCTAGTAAGTAGAGGGAGAGAATATTTTGAAACTAAATTTAACATTGTGTAATAAATAAGTTTAGATGTACAAAATCTGCAACAAACACTCAATACCACTGCATTTGAGAACAAGTTTTGAAGCAAATTAAACAGATTAAAGTGGATCGTGCAAATAGTAATCCAACTGTATCCTATCCTATGATGAATATCGCCCAAGTAAATACGAAACATCTATGTTATTATGGATGACAGTCAGAACACATCTCACTGGTTAAAAATGATTAATAGTAGTGCATCTCACGTCTGTCATCGCATGAAAGGAACTAACCCCCTCATCTCTGTTCCATTTCCATTGCATAGGAAGTAAATTTTTTTCCAATTTTCTTCTGTGAATGCTTCACGCCGAATAAGCCTTTGCCTGTCAAATAGGAAAACACAAGAAACTCAGGAATATGAAACACAGTTTTTAAGCTATGAAATTTGATTACGCGGTAAAAATCAAAGAAAGGTATAAATATACAAGAAAATTCATCTATCGATCGCTAGCTCAAAGAACACTTATGTATCGACAATGTGTCTTTCTATTCTGACAAAGTTAAAACTTACACAGAATATGGGAATTGTCCAACAATAATACATTTCAAATAGAAAGAGGAATTAAAGAGATATAAAATTAGACAACTTATTATGGGCTGATTGATTTGTTAGCTGTTACACTATATAGTGTTATTGCCGTGCCATATAAGCAATGTTATCAACATGAGGAACAGAGAGACTGTGTAAGCATACCTTAAATAATAATGACAAACAGTGTCTGCTTCCTCTAAACTGTATCGAGGAAACATAGCACGAGCATCGACTGGTACATCTGGTAAGTCTTTACGAAGCTTTCCTACAGCCGTCGAATGAGAAAAAGCCCCTACCATCATATCATCATGGATCATTGACCTAAAAGCATTCACCTGCAATAGTAAGAAAAAAAGCATCTAATGTAGCCTATTTCCAGGGGCAGAAGTTATATCCATAATAGAATATATAGCTGGCATTGTTCTACAAGATAAAGAATCAATGTACTAACCATAGTAAGTTCTCTAGCATGTATTGGCCGACAAGAACGAATTGTGACAGGTTCCTCATACTCACTGAATGTAAACCAGTTATTATACTGGAAAGAGGCAATCACAGCAAATAAGCAAAAACCAATTTAGAGAACAAGTAATTTCAAAGAAAGAACATCATTTTAACATCAAGCAATCTGTTTCTCACTTGATCAATTGCAATAAGAACAGGCATGTCTTTAACAAGTGATAACTCTTTCCTCAAACGAACTACTACTCCAACGGCTGCGTGTGTTTGTTCAATGCCAGTCTTCACCAGCTCATACAGCATTGTACCTTCAGGAACTGCCACCGAATCAACATCTTTTAACCATCCCACACCAGCACCCTCGCCTAATGGGATTGGATCAAATATTTGGCATGGCAGTTGCTTTAGGTAGGATTCGTTGTACTTCAAGAAATCCTGGAAGAAAAGTATCCATAACATTCAATGTAACTACAGGTAACGAGCCAAGGAGGCTGATAAAAGTGTTTATCATAATCATCATTAATTGGCAAAATATAAGTAAACATCCAAAATCAAATAAAACAAATACAACCTCGGTCCCTGAATTTAGGACTCTTAAGTTTTCTCTTTATTCCTGTTTATATGACTACTTTCAAATTTTCAATGACATAAATTATTTTTTGCCAATATACCACCACCTCTAATTATATTAGATCTTTTTTTGCAATTTGTATTAAATACTCTAATAAATACTCTAAAACTTTAACTAATTCTCTCTCGTGAAGGATAAACTTGTAACTTAATACCAATTGTCAGCAAAATTAATGGCACAACCAACTTTTTTAATTCTTGTATTTTAATCAAAGGGGTCATATAATAAACGGACGAAGGTAGTAAGTAGGAGAAAAACAATTTTTTCCTACAAAAATATTAAGTTTTAAAATTTTCTTTATTAAACATCTATATGTCTGGCTACTAATATGCAAGCATGGGGTTTAGAACTATCCTAATCTAGTATCCTAGTAATTAAAACTTTTATTTGATATATCTTAAGACAGGGGAAGTGAGAGCCAATATCATTGTCTCACTCTCGTAGCTCAGTTGACAAGTTAAGGGACACTGACACTGAAGGAGTTTTAAACAGGAGGTTCATGGTTCAAATCCTATAAACTAACATAATCATTAACTCGCTAACATTTGTCTATCTTTGGATGATGTGGGTATTCACTCTTCTAGTCTGTATAATCATAACATCATATAAGGATGTAAACAAAATCATGACATCATATAAGGAAAAGAAAATTAGTGCATGAAAGCAATAGGGTAAAGAGAGATGACAGAAAGTACTAATTCTTATTTGCTAACTTTAATTACATCTCGAAGAATTGGAAATTTCTTATAGGAAAACTACCAAGTCAATTAGACAAACAGAACAACAGAAGCGTAACATAGGAGCCAAAACGACAACAGGGTAAGCATACTAAGTCAGACAGTCAACAACCATCATAGGAAACAAAAAGTGGCCTTAGTTGTAATGCTTTAATTGATAATTTGGCTTATAGTAGAGCCCAACGGTATCAATTATACATGCAGTTGACCCCGACTAGCAAGATATTGCTTGGTATTGTGGAAAATAACTATGTTGTACATGGTTCTGGAACATAATTGCCGTTTTTCAGCAAAGACGGTAAACTCAATGTATCTGTAAACTCTTAACACTATGTATGGGTCAGTAGATTTACAAAAGAGAAAAATAAGAAAGAGATAGATAGCAGAGAAATAGGGAGAGAATTTTGATGGATGGGACCTAGACATGCAGTTTAACACTCTTCAGTTTGCAGCCTGTTCTATTAGAAGCTATAATTCTTGTTCTGTCAAAATACATGAGTATGGTGTATGTCGAATAGCTAGTGGAGTGTGTTGTAAGCTGTATTCGACAGAGTCGAATACAGCAGATATTGAAGTATGTCGAAATTATGTTTTGAGCTTTAGCGTGTTTTGTTTAATTGGGTCTGGGCATTATTTGCCTATATAAAAGGTTGTTGAGTTTGTAATCATAAGCGTAATCAATAACAGATTTTTACAATTCAGTTAGAATCACAACAAACTTTCAATCTCTCTCTCTGTCTCTTTCTTCTTCTTCCTCTTTCATAAATCACCTTTCTTGAAAACTCTTTGTTTCAACAAATTGGTATAACATAGCTCGGTTGCGATTCAGAGAGAATCTAATGGCAAACGGATCAACAACGTCAACACAGTTTCCAGCGAATCTACCGGTTTTCAAAGGTGAAAACTATCAGCGGTGGGTTACGCAGATGAAGGTTATCTTCAGATTTCAAGATGCTGTTGAAATCTTGAATGATGGAGTATCAGAACTGAAAACAAATGCGATGGAAGCTCAAAAAACTGCGCACAACAATCAAAGAAAGAAAGACGGTAAAGTCTTGTTCTTGATTCATCAGTGTGTGGATTCTGATGTATTTGAGAAGATAATTGAAGAAGAAACAGCAAAAGGAGCTTGGGAAAAGCTAAAGAACTTGTATGGTGGAGATGGAAAATTGAAGAAGGTGAAGTTGCAGATGCTAAGGAAGCAATATGAAATGCTTCGGATGAAAGAAGATGAAGCAATTGCTGCATATTTTTCAAGAATTGTGACGCTAACAAACCAAATGAAGGCATGTGGTGAATCGATTAGGGATCTGCAGAAGATAGAAAAGGTGTTGAGATCTTTGACTGCAGATTTTGACTACATTGTTGTGACAATTGAAGAGGCCAAGACTCTATTTGAGATGAAGCTGGAAGAACTTCAAGCTTCATTAGAGGCTCGTGAGATGAGGTTGAAGCAGAGAAACTCAGAAAGAGAGAAGATGGTTGAACAAGAATTGCAATCAAGATTCAGCAAGAAAGCTGGAAAAGAGAAGTCGAAGCAGCGAAGGAATCTTGCTAGTGATGAGAAGTCAAGCAAGAATACTTATTCGATCAAGAAAGGTGTGGGCAACAAGTATTCTGGGAAGAAAGTTGACACGAAAGAGGTGCAACGTTACAATTGTCAAGGTTTTGGTCACTATGCTAGAGACTGTCGAAGAAAGAAAGCTGTGAGGGCGAAAGATAGTGATGAAGCTCAATATGCACGAGCTGGAGATAGTGATTATGATGATTTGTTGTTGATGGTGAACACTCAGTCGAACACTGAGAAAAACAACATGTGGTATCTGGATTCAGGATGCAACAACCACATGACTGGCAATAAAAACTGATTTACCAAGTTAGATGAGTCAGTCGAAAAGGTGATACAGTTTGTAGATGGTAGGCACATCAAATCAGGTGGTAAAGGAGATATTTTGATTGTTAGGAAGGATGGTCGAAAAGCTACTATCACTGAAGCGCTGTATGTACCTTCTATGGCAAGTAACTTGATAAGTGTAGGTAAATTACTTGCAAAAGGCTTCAATATGAAGCTGGAGAAGAATCAGATGAAGGTATATCGGGTTGATGGGAAGCTAATAATGAAAGCACCATTGGCGGAGAACAAAACGTTCAAAGTTGAACTCAACACATTAGATCACAAATGTCTTGCTTCAACTACAAAAGAAGACAAGAATTGGCTATGGCATCACATGTATGGACATCTAAACTTTAGAAGTTTATGCATGCTCAATCAGAAAAGGATGGTGTTTGGGTTGTCGTATGTAAAGGAACCAAAGCAGGTATGTGAGGAATGCTGCAAAGCAAAACAGACTAGGAAGGCATTCAAACATGACTTTCCCGTGAAATCAAAACAAAAATTAGAGCTGGTTCATTCTGATGTGTGTAGGCCTTTTGAAGTAAAGTCAAATGGAGGTAACAGGTATTTCTTTACTTTCATTGATGAATTCACCAGACATATGTGGATTTGCCTTATTGAAAGGAAAAGTGAGGTATTCACACAGTTCAAGAAGTTCAAGTTGCATGCTGAGAAACAAAGTGGCTGCAAATTGAAGAAGTTAAAAACTGAAGGTGGTGGTGAATATACGTCTGCTGAATTTGCTAGATTTTACAATGAGGAAGGTATAGAGCATGCAGTTATTGCACCCTATACGCCTCAACATAATGGCATAGGTAAGAGAAAGAATATAAGTATACTGAACATGACGAGAAGTATGTTGAAAGCTAAAGATATGCCTAAGAGATTTTGGGCTGAAGCAGCTTCGACAGCAGTATATATTCTAAATAGATGCCCAACGAAGAAGAAGATGGTCGAAAAGACACCTCATGAGGCTTGGACAGGGTCGAAGCCAAATGTGAGTCATCTTAGAGTTTTTGGATCAATGTGCTTCAGGCATGTACCTGAACAATTGAGAAAGAAGCTTGATGATAGAAGTGAAGTCATGGTGTTCATAGGTTATCATTCGACTGGTGCATACAAGTTGTATTCGTCAAACAAAGATAAACTAGTGATCAGTCTAGATGTTCTTGTAGACGAAAGCAAAAAGGGTGGGACTGGAGTCGAAGTTCAGTTCGACAAGAATCAGATACAGTCACAATTGTGTTCGAAGAAGATGAACAAAAGGAAGCTTCAACCAATCGAAATGAACAGGATGATGCTTCAACCAGTCAAAATGAAGAACAACCTGTGCAGAATGAAAGAAGGTCGATAAGAACAAGAACAGAGTCGACAAGGCTAATTGGATATGAAAGGTTTCCAGATTAAGCAGTTGATGCAGATGGTAACTTAATCGAAGAAGTCATGATGATGGCTGAAGCAGAACCAATTGATTTGGATGAAGTCATGAGCAATTCGAATTGGTGTGAAGTCATGAAAGAAGAACTCAGAGCTATTGAGAAGAACAAGACCTGGTACTTGTCGAGAGAACAAATAAGAGACCAATCGATGTAAAGTGGATTTACAAGGTGAAACGAAGGCCAAATGGTGAGATTGCGAAGTATAAAGCAAACTTGGTGGCAGAGGTTTTCTACAAAACCTGGTATCGACTTCGACGAAGTATATGCGCCTGTTGCGAGGTTAGAAACAAATAGAATTGTTGTTTCGACAGCAGCATATAGAGGATGGAAGATGCATCAGTTGGATGTAAAGTCAGCATTTTTGAATGGTCCATCGGAACAAGAAGAAGTCTATGTTACTCAACCACCAGGATTCGACGTCAAAGGGCATGAATCGAACGTATATAGATTAAGGAAGGCTCTTTATGGTTTGAAACAAGCCCCTAGAGCTTGGAATAAGAGAATAGATAGCTTCCTGATCGAAGCAGGTTTCACAAAGTGTGTCTCTGAACATGGAGTGTATGTAAATGATATCAACAGTGTCAGTCGAATCACTTTATGCCTCTATGTTGATGACTTACTCATTACAGGAGCAGACGAAACTGAGATAATGAAGGTAAAGTCGAAATTTATGCAGGAATTCGAAATGTCTGACTTAGGGAATCTTTCATATTTCCTAGGGATGGAATTCAAAGATACTGAAGAAGGAGTATTCTTGCATCAAACGAAGTATGCTCAAGATATTTTGAAGAGGTTTAAATGAGCAACTGTAATAAAGTTGTCACTCTGTTAGAAACTGGAGCAAAGTTGAAAAAGAAAACGAATAATGAGTTTGTAAGTTCGACCCTTTACAAACAAATTATTGGATCCTTGAGATGTCTTTGCAATACTAGACCAGATATCTGCCAAAGTGTAGGATTGTTGAGAAAATTTATGGAGAAACCACAAGAGTGTCATCTCATCGCAGTAAAGAGGGTGTTAAGATACATAAAGGGAACATTTGAGCACGGTGTGCTGTTATCAAAGAAGTCGAAGAACGGCACGAATGTCGAAGTTCACGGATACACTGACTCAGATTTCAGTGGAGATCAAGACAAAAAGAAAAGTACTGCATGCTACATTTTCATGATTGAAGGTGCTCCAATCTCCTGGAGTTCAAGGAAACAAAGCATTATGGCTTTGCCATTATGCGAAGCAGAATATGTGTCTGCATCATATGATGCATTCCAAGCAGCATGGATCGAAATGTTACTTGAAGAACTCAGGATAATTGAACCTAAGAAGATGAAGTTGTTTGTCGACAACAAGTCAACTATTAACCTGGCGAATCACCCAGTGTGTCATGGCCGAAGTAAACACATAGAAAGGAGGTATCATTTTCTGAGGGATCAAGTCAACAAAGGGAAGTTAGAGATAAAGCATTGCAAGACAGAAGTGCAACTAACTGACATATTTACCAAACTTTTGAAGAAAATCAGATTCGACGAGTTAAAGAGAAGCATCAGGATGAGAAGTCTCGAGAACATGAATTAGGGAGTGTGTTAGAAACTATAATTCATGTTCTGTCAAAATACATGAGTATGGTGTATGTCGAATAGCTAGTGGAGTGTATTGTAAGCTGTATTCGGCAGTCGAATACAGCAGATGTTGAAGTATGTCGAAATCATGTTTTGGGCTTTAGTGTATTTTGTCTAATTGGGCCTGGGCATTGTTTGCCTATATAAAAGGCTGTTGAGTTTGTAATCATAAGCGTAATCAATAACAAATTTTTATAATTCAGTTAGAATCACAAGAAACTTTCAATCTCTCTCTTTCTTCATTTTCTTCCTCTTTCATAAATCATCTTTCTTGAAAACCCTTTGTTCTAACATGTTCTTTGCAGCAAGATGGCTGAGAGAATTTCAGAATTTTGGGCTGCTCTGCCGCTTGTACAAGCTTTGCTGCCAGGTTGAGTTTTACAACTAAATTGCTCTTGGGTTCAGTAACAGGGTCACAACATAGTGAAACCACTTTGCGCATCATTATGAAATGGAAAGTTGGGTAAAGAGAGATGAAAGAAAGTACTCATTCTTATTTGTTAACTTTAATTACATCTCGAAGAAATGGAAATTTCTTATAGGCAAAACTATCAGGTCAATTAGACAAACAGAACAACAAAAGTGTAACTTAGGAGCCCAAACGACAACGGGGTAACCATACTAAGTTAGACAGTTAACAGCCATCATAGGAAACTAATTGTACAACCTCTATAAATTAATTTGTTGTTGACAAAAGCATCATCAAGAAAACACATTATTTCATTCATTTCTCTTCGAAATGTTCTATAAACCGAACTTCCAATTGAAAAGTGTGTTTAGCATACAGCACAAACATACAATGAATGATATACAACACGATGAAGCTAAAAATAATGAAAGTCTTAGTCTTACTTTGAGGACATTCTCGGCCTGAACAGGTGTGTCCCATAGACCTGTTTGTGGATGCTTATAGAAAAATCCTCCATGCGTCCATTCCTTTCCTCTTGGAACATAGAAAACCAACCAACCTTCTTCTCTAGCCCACTGAACAAGCATTGCAAGCGCAATGCTCTTCCCGCAGCTGACAGGACCATCTAAAACAACTTGCTTCCTAACTTTGACCCCTAAAAAATTTACCAGAGAAACAAATCAAATCGAGTCTTAACTATAGTTAAAAATTGCAGTCTGCAACCCCGATTACCGCAACAAATAGGTTTTAGAATGTCTCTGCATTGGCACTATTTTTAGAAAAGGGAGCAATATAAATTCAAAGTGGATCAACTTTTTTCTATTTTAAGATTATAAGTGGAGCAATATTCTACTTTAATGACAAGATTGGAGATTTTAAAGTAATATGACATAGATTGATGATTGACTAATTTAATTTTTTAAGCTATTTCTTTAAATTGTATTTATTATTAATCATATGTTTCATAATATTATGCACGATATCTCATGCATCGCACGGGCAAACGTATAGTTTAATTTTAAATATGTTATAGTATTATTTTTCTAAAATAACTTAGTGTTATTTATTTGTGCAGGCTGCCAACTACGACTCAGAGAAGAGCATGGCGAGGCTGAGAGAGTTGAGAACGGGTTTCAACGCAGTTCAAGATTCGGAACTTCTCAACCTCTTCAAATCCAAAATTAACTTGGAACTTTCTTCTAATCACTTTCAGGTTCTCTCCAACTCTAAACCCATTTCTACAATCAATTCATTCACACGGTTCTCAATTATTTTCATCACTTGAAATTAAGAAAAGATTGTTATTTTAATGGATGCAGAATGCTCAAATTGGTTCTTTAGGTGAATTTGTGGTGGACTCAGATTCACCTCATTCCAAAGATGTGATTTTGAGAAGAAAATGTGATTCCGGAGAGGAAGTTGCTCTTTCAGCTATATTGGGTCCTCCTATCTATGAAAAAGATCTTATTTTTGTCAGAGATGTTTTCATGAAAGTATGTGTTAAGAAGCCAGCTTTGTCCTCTATCTTGCAATTTGACTGTAGAGCTTATCAATTAATTGATAAAATCTCTCATATTGACATCAACAATGCTTATTATCTTAGATCACCAGAGTCTCTTAGCTCTTCCATTTACAGAGGCCCCTTATTCAGGTAAACTACTCGAGACAGTCTTATTTGTGTCCTTATCCTATGTTTTTGTTGGTCATATTGGGGGTTTTAGGTTAGTGGTAAGGTAACAGATGTGCCTATTTATATTGTAGTGTCTAACATGTAGAATAGATTATGTAGAATAGCTTCTGTATTTTATTTTTCCTTACTTTAATTGTCATTTTATTTAGCAGTTTTAAGAGCACTGTCATCAAAGGTGTCCTAGATAAACAACACAAGGCATTTAACATGCAGAATATGCACACTCGTTACCACTTACAAAGACCTCTAAATAGGAAAAATTGCAGTCTGCAACCCCGACTACCGCAACAATAAACAGAAGCAATTGCAGACCCATCCACTGCATTTGTGTACATTTTTCCCCAATATCAAGGTTTACAGAATTTTAGAACATCAACATTCCAAAAACGCACCTTTACCATGAGGTGACCACATTGGTGGATCAACCACACGTTTGAAGTTATCACGAAGATCCAAAAAGCTCTGGCGAACAAGCAAAGCAGTTCGCATAGAGTCCTGAAACTCCTTCGACATACTAACCGGCAACCCTTCGGGCAAAGCATCATTCAATGTCTCCTTCCTAGAAAACAAGCCAACAACATAAAACCCGAAAAAGAGTTAAAAAATCAACTACGCACACAAGCACACAAGGTGTTCGATAAAACTCCACAGCGGTAATCAATGCAAAAGAGACATAAAGAGAGTGTACGCGAGGTGGAAGTAAGTGCAGGTGTCGTTGTTGGTGAGCTTAGACAGGGAAGCGGCGGAAGTGAAGAGGGGTCTTCCGTTGGGGCCGATATTGAGAGAAGGGTTCTTTTCATCGGCGGTGAGATTGCGGAGGCGTTCCTGTTCGTCGAAGAAGATGTCAGCGGTTGGAGCGATGGCAGGGGTTTTGGAAGTGGGAGTGGGTTTTGTTGGAGACTTGGAAGAATAATTTAGAGATGAAATTGTTGTTGTAAGATTGCTCCGCCATTGATGATTATGTGTTGCTGCGGTTTTCGTTAAGCACCGCAACATTTTAGTTTCTGTAATGAATCAGAGAGAGAGAGAGTTTAGGTTACGGATGCAAGAGGGAGGAGAGAAGGTGATGGCGAACTGAGATGTGCGGAACTCAGAAACGAAGAGAAATGGGAAACATACCGTAAGTTTTCTTGATTGTTGGTTTCAATCAGCCCATTAGCCCATATGGATACAATCATCTTCTTCTTTTTAGCGATAGAAAATCGGTGCGTCCGCACGGTTTCTGTCGTGGTTCGCGAAATTTATTAAATTGTAATTGGATTCTCTCGAAATAGTGTGTTGAAGGGAAGTTGTTCAGTCGAAGAGTTTGTGAATCGAAATAAACTACACAAATTTGATAGTTTTAGATTTAAATAAATTTGATTTAGACCTAAAATAGATAGATTTAATTTGGTACTAAAATAGATATTTCGGATTTTTATAATTTTGGGTTTTGTGGGTTAGAGAACAAGTTAACCTAAATCTATAAATAGAATGAGTAACTCTTAATTTTGTAATTAAGTTAATTCATTGTAATCACATAATTTACAGTTGCAAGTGATTAATAAAGTTTTTCACAATTTGTGTGCAGAGAGAAACTCTGCAGAAAATAATTGTCTTCTTTCTTTTCTTTTCTTTTCTTTTATCATAATCCATTGTCATTGTGTGGTGATATCAATCTTGTTCATCAAGATTGATAGAAATTCATCATAGACATTTGGTAAATTTCCAACTTCTGATATCAAGAGCTCGATTAATCGATTCAAGAGAAGTATCGATCAAGAACTATTGATAAAAAAGAAGAATTCATGATGGCGAGTTATAGGAATGCAAATTATCCAGCAACTCTACAAGTTCTGAAAGTAGACAACTATGAGAATTGGTGCAAACACATGAAAATTGTCAAGGTCTTTGGGATCTTGTAAATGATGGATTGGAAGCGCTTGGAGAAAACGCTTCAGAAGAAGAAAAGCGGAAACACACAGAATCTGAGAAGCTGAGTTATAAAGCACTCTTTATAATTCATCAATGTTTGAGTCCAGAAAATTTTGAAAAAGTGAGTGATTCTGAATCTGCAAAAGAAGCTTGGGAGGTTCTTGAGAAGTCTTTTGGTGGTGCAGAAAAGGTGAAAGAATTGAGGTTACAAACTCACAAGAGAACGTATGAATTGCTTCAGATGGAAGATAGTGATAGCATATCTGATTTCTTCACTAGGGTTACAAAACTAGTGAATCAAATCAAGGTATGTGGAGAAACATTAACAACAAGAGTTGTTGTTTCGAAGATCTTAAGATCTTTGGCTCCTAAGTTCGACCACGTGGTGGTGGCTATAGAAGAGGGAAAAGACTTGTCGAAATGGACAAAGGAAGAGCTTCAAGGGACGCTTGAATCTCATGAACAAAGAATGATTGAAAGAGTTGCAGGCAAGTCGAAGAGTGATGTGACTTTGCAGGCACGTTCAACAAAAGAAACCAAAGACAAAGGAAAGTGGTTTGACAGAGGTAGAGGCGGCTACAACAAATCGACTGGTAGAGGAAACCAGAATGAAGGAAACGTGTCGAATGAGAGAAGAATATACCAAAGCAACCAAAGAGGTGGTGTTGCAAATAGAGGAAGAGGTGGTGGTCGAAAACCTGACAAGAGTCACATTTAATATTACAATTGTCAGAAGTATGGTCATTATTCGAGTGATTGTCCAAAAAAGCGAAAGAATCAAGAAAGTGATGCAAAGTTTGCAAAACATGAAGAAGAATAGATGATGTTGATGGTCACAATAAGAGCTGAAGATAGATTCAAAGACCAATGGTACTTGGATTCAGGATGCTCATCACATATGTCTGGAAGGAAAGACTGGTTTGTCAACATAAAGCCCTCAATAAAAAATATGATAAAAATCGCAAATGACAATACCCTAGCAGCTGAAGGTATTGCTGATGTTATGATTATGATGAAAGATGGTAAGAGGTCAGTAATTTCCAATATGTTGTACATACCAAGCATGAAGAGCAATTTGCTCAGTATAGGGCAGTTGGTCGAAAAAGAATTATAAAGTGTCGATCGAAGATAAGATGATGAGAATCTTCGACGCAAATGGAAGATTAATATTCAAGGCTCATATGTCTCGGAATAGAATATTCAAGATCAAACTAAATATGATGGAGAAATTTGATTGCAGCTAGCAGAGATGAATGAATATGGCATTATCGACTAGGTCATCTCAACTTTAGAGACATCAGAGATTTGAAGAGAAGAAATATGGTTTCAGGATTGCCAGAAATCGATATTCCAAGCGAGGTATGTGAGGAATGTGTGCAGGCGAAGCAGCACAAGAATAGCTTCAGCAAGGATGCAGGAAGCAGGTCGAAGGTTATTCTTGAAGTCATATACTTTGATGTATATGGACCAATCCAGGGGGATTCAATGGGAAGTAACAAATATTGTGTTACATTCATAGATGATTTCAGTCGAAAGCTGTGGACTTACCTTATCAAGAAGAAAAGTGAAGTGATCGAAGTATTTGCCAAGTTTAAGTTTATGGTCGAAAGACAAAGTGGTCAAAACTCAAAGTTTTGAGAACTAATGGTGGTGGAGAGTATGTGTCGAAAGACTTCAACAGGTTATGTAAAAGGGAAGGGATTGTGCATGAGGTGGTGCCACCCTATACTCCACAGCATAATGGAACTGCAGAAAGGAAGAATCGAACCATCATGAATATGGTGAGAAGTATGTTGAAAGGCAAGAATTTACCTAAAGAGTTTTGGGGTGAAGTTGTGTCGACTACAACATACATTTTGAACATATGTCATACGAAGAAGCTAGAAGGAATTACTCCAGAAGAATGTTGGTCTGGTATGAAGCCTAGCTTGAGTCGTCTGAAGGTATTTGTATATATTGCACATAGACATGTGCCAGATCAGTTGAGAAGAAAACTTGATGACAAGTCGAGTCAAATGATTCTAGTTGGATATCATTCGACAGGAGGTTACAAGTTGTTCGGCCCAGTGAACAAGCAGATTGTGATCAACAGGGACATGATTATAAATGAGCTTAAAGAATGGGATTGGACTGAAAACGTCAAGAAATATTCAGTGGGAATCCTACTTGAAGAACCAGAAACTCAAGTCGAAAGAGAAGTTCGACAAGAGGAACCAACAGTTATATATCAACCAAGTACAAGCAGACCTCAAAGAACAAGACGCGTGCATGTAAGATTACAAGATTGTGTGATTACATCAGATGATGTGATAGATAATGAAGGTGAATTGGTACATTATGCTTTCTATGCAGATGTCGAATCTGTCAATGCAGCTGAAGCATTGAAAGATTCAAAGTGTGTGAAAGCAATGAACGAATGAGTGAAGTCTATCGAAGACAACAACACTTGGTCACTTGTCGAATTTCCTCAAGGCAAGAAGGAAATTGATGTCAAGTGGGTATACAAAGTGAAAATGAATTTCAAAGGGAAAGTAACTCAATACAAAGTAAGACTTGTGGTGAAAGGATTTCTATAGAAAGAAGGAATAGAATTCGATGAAGTTTTTGCACCTGTTTCCAGGATCGAAACAATTAGGTTGGTTGTTGGTCTAGCATAAATAAACATATGACACATATGTCATATGGAAGTGAAGTTTGCATTCCTGAATGGACCCTTAGATGAAGAAGTTTATGTTAAACAACCAGTTGAGTTTGTGAAACACGACGAAGAAAGAAAGGTGTACAGGCTGCATAAAGCCCTGTATGGATTTAAACAAGCTCCAAGAGCTTGGAATAAGAAAATTGATTGTTTCCTAAGGGAGAAGGAATTTGTGAAGTGCACGACTGAATATGGAGTATATGTAAGAAGAAGCAATAGTAAATTGTTTATACTATGTCTATATGTCGATGATTTGTTGATAATAGGTAGCTGCAAAAGTGAGATTGAATACTTCAAAGGTGATCTCAGCAAGGAATTCAAAATGTCTGATCTAGGTGAGATTTCATATTTCCTTGACATCGAATTCTACAAGAGCAGTTGAGGTTTGATGATGAATCAAAGAAGATATGCAGGAGAAATTCTCAAGAGATTTGAGATGAAATAATGCAACTCAACTTCGACACCTGCAGAACCAAGACTGCAACTGTCGAAAAATGCAGATAAAGATGATGTCGACTCAACCCAATACAAAAGACTTATTGGGTCATTGAGATACCTTTGTCATACAAGGCCTGACTTAGCATCTAGTGTAGGTATGGTAAGTAGATTCATGCAGAAGCCAAAGGTATCACATCTAGCAGCGGTGAAGAGGATACTAAGGTATCTCAAAGTAACTTCCGACTATGACATTTTGTTTCCTGCAACTGATAAAGGAAAAGAATGCAAGTTAGTGGAATACACTGATTCGAGTTGGTGCAGTAATGCTGAAGATCGAAAATCAACAACAGGATATGTGTTTATGTTAGATGGTGCACCAGTTGCATGAAGTTCAAGAAAGGAAACAGTAGTGGAATTATCATCATGTAAAGCAGAATACATAATTGTTTCTCTTTGTGCATGTTAAGCAACTTGGATGGTGAACTTGCTCGAAGAGATAATAGAGAAAGATCATGAAGCAATTACCATGAAGATCGATAACATGTCAGCTATCAATATGGCGAAGAACCCGATAGCACATGGTCGAAGCAAGCACATTAAAATGAGGTTCCACTATCTTCAAGAGCAGGTAGCAGATAGGAAGATGAATTTGGAACACTGCAGAACTAAGAATCAGACTGCAGACATCATGACGAAGGGAGTGCAAGTCGAAGTATTCAGAAGACTGAGAACCATGATAAATATAGATAGTTTAGAAACAATAAATTAGGTGGTGTGTTGTGGTACGGTGGGAGAACTGACTTGGGTGTTTTGCGTTTTATCGCAAATGTTGCGGTTAGCAAGAGTCGCCACCGACTTTTCTTTTATCCAAAAGGAAAGGTGAAAAAGCATAGGAAAGACCTTTGAGATTGTTTCTTGAGTTCGGGGGGTAGATTATGAAAGGGGA